CACTTATTCTGTGCATAACAAGTCTCTCCTCCTTTCAAACAGAAATCTCATTTGATTTCATATCGGCCAATGAAACAGTGCGGGGTGAACAATCAGTCTTTGTAATGTGATCCACGGATTGAGCACGGTGTGTAAATGTTTGCTCAGGCATCCATCCAAAACGAATCCCGCAGAAAAAAAAGGGGAATCTATCCAGGGCAGGCCTCTCTCTTTATCTCTCTCCTGCCCGACAGCAGCAGGGTATCAGGCGCATTATATTCCAGCGCTCTGTGCATTTTTCATATAGGCTGGCCTTTTATGTTTTATGCACGCCGGCTCGAGGGAGAACAGCTGTGTGGGCGCCGCATCCTCTGTAAGTTTTAGAGGGAGAACTCATTTTTAGCGGGGGAGAAGTGGAGCAGAATGCCAAAAAGCGAGCGTCGCTGCATACCTGCGAGCTGCAGACCGAAGCCTGCCTCGGCTTTTGCATTACCATAATACACGGAAAACAACACCTCGTGCGCCGGGGAAACAGTGATTTTAAAAAAAATTACGCGTTTACAAGTTCTCGGATGATCTGCGTCGTGACCCTCCTCGTGTTTCCCGCCAACTTCTGGAGTAAAATCCGACGTTGGAGGCTTGCAGACCGCTCCGGGATAATCTGGTGTTACATATGTCATGGAAATGGATTTTCTGTCGACTTGCATTTGGTTCTGCTGAAACGAGCAGGGTGCGATTTTGTAATCGACCTTACTCGCTCCGCAAAGTTTGTCATAATCCCCAAATTCTCATCTTTGGAAAGTTTGCACCGGATTAAACGCCAAAAACATTTTTGCTTTTTTGTTCTTTTTCTTTAAAACATTTACATTATTTTACTTTAAATTTTAAGATACGGATTTAATTTTTAAATTATAGACAGATATTATCAAAACCAACGTCTACGTCATCAACTAATGCTCCAACATTATCTCGTTGCTTTTTAACAATGACAATAAAACTACTTAACTAAATTAAATAGAGCAACTCTTCAAAATTATTAAAAGTGCCGATTTTTTTAAAATAAACACCGTCAACAGCTTTAAAATCAGGCCTCAGTGTCAAACAGGAGCGTCCCTTCTTTAAGGTAAAAATAATTTATTTAATCTGTTAAATGCTGAGAATAAATATGAACTAAAATATGTGATTTTTCAGAATTCTGGGTATTTTACGACTCTTTAACGCCTCACTTGTCAATCCCTAATTGATCCTTTCATTTCCACACAGACTGAGGTCTGAGGACAGATGGTGAAATGTCTTTTTGTATATGGGGGGACACACTGCCACCCAGTGTTCCAGAAGCAGGACAGGTTTAAGTTCAGGGGGATCTGTCCACTTCAGCAGCTCCAGTTTTGTTTTTCTTTGCCTTCAGAGACCTGTCTGATTGTGTTGTCATTGAAACGATGTTAGAAAATTTACAAGCTTCTGGAGTTAAAGTTGTGTTTGGTTAAATAGATAGGTAACCTGTAGTTAAAATGCATTGAAATTAGTTGGTTAAATGATTAGATAAGATGGTTTTATCTGTTTGTAAAATGTGAATTGT